AAAAAAAAATTAAGGAAAATTGCCTACCAACATATTTTTCAGTTTTATTTTTTTATAATTTTGGGGAATTGATAGTATATTTTATCAATGCTCCTTTAGATGACAGATGCTACTTTTTACCTTTTTTTTCCACATGAATTTTGTTTTTTTTTAAAACGAGCCCTATTTGTCTTTTATGGAGTTAATAATCATTTTTGTAATAATTTCTTAAAATTTAAAAACCTCAAATTGTGTCGTTAAATTTTTTTTAAATACTATCAATGTATTCCTCCAACTAATCGATATTATTGAATTTGTAGTTAGTTAACATCCCACAAGTGAGCTAGAATAAATAATATTTTATGTGATTATAAAATAATTATGGGTATAAAATAAAATCCAGTGGAATTAGAGATTCTTACTGAATTGGAAACTTAATAATTTTTTTAGGACCAAGTCGTGATAGATTTATTTTTCTTAAATTTTTTAGTCTCTTGCGTAAATGACATGCTTTTGATTGGTTCAGACAAAAGATTAATCGAAGTGCACGTAGGCTAACCCAAATATCTACGACAGCAATAAAAAAAAAATGAAATAAAATTAAGCATACAATGCTAAATTATTAATCTTCAACGAGCAAAGTGATAATTTTCAGATCCTTGAGGGGGTAAAGTGACATTAAACTTAAAAAGTACAACTAAGTCGGACCAGTGAGTCGGTGAATTGAGATTGTCCCGTAATCGCACATGCGTTCAGCTGCGTGTAGGTGTAGCCATGCGATCACCGCCTATTTCTTTAGGTGGTTCAGTGTCATTTCTTCTTCCAATCCGACTTCGTCGAACCCCTACTCTCTCTGGCCCGTAAACTCTAGCACATAAAACCCTGAGAAGACACGATTGATCGTTCCATTCCGATCGTCGTCAAATTCCGATACCGGAGTAATGGGCCTCGGTATAAAACATAGTTCATACAATCAAGCATAACATTACACCAATATTACGTATGTATTGATTCATATTCATGTAACTATGCGGTCAATTTGCAATTTATATGAACCGTAGTCTTTGATTTTCAGGTGATAGAGGCCGACCTAGCAAGAAGCCCAAGTTTTCATCCAAGGTTCTTCAACTCCTCCTAACCGCCCTAGTTTTGTTCTGATAATATGTAACTAGAACGATAATTTTCATCGTTGTTCTATATAGGAGGACCTAAGAACTCCAGTTTTTGAAGATGAGGATGCATATTATACTGAAGAATTGGAAAACGATTGTCGCGATGGTATATAAATGTATTATAATGCATATTTGCCTGTAAATATAGTTTTTGTTTGATTTGTTTCAATTGATTTGGGTGAAATCAATTTGAGGTGATAAAGAAGGAAAAAAGAGAGATTTTACCAAATTGGAACTTAAACCCGATCACGCCAATCGGCCACTTTGGGCTTGCGCTGATGGCCGAATATTCTTGGAAACATTCTCTCCTCTCTACAAACAAGCTTATGATTTTCTCATTGCCATTGCCGAGCCTGTTTGCAGGTACCATAGGTTACGGGCCAAATACACACACGAGCATATTTATGTTCGTAAATCTTTATTCGTTTCAGTTGTTGGGTTTTTATATGTGAATTTTGATGTATAGGTCAGAGTCGATGCACGAATACAACCTGACACCTCACTCCTTATATGCCGCGGTGTCAGTTGGTCTTGAAACTGAGACCATCATAGCTGTTTTGAATAAATTGTCAAAGACCAAGCTTCCCAAAGAGACGATTGACTTCATACAGGCTTCTACTGCCAATTATGGCAAAGTGAAGCTTGTACTTAAGAAGAATCGGTACTTTATCGAATCCCCATTTCCAGAGGCAAGATAGTTTGGCCTTCTCTGATCTTTTTTTTCTTCTTTTAATTGGGATGAATTGGGAGACTGGGCTGGTAAACCCCCTAACTTATGGTTATGTGCAGGTGTTGAAGAGGTTGCTCAAGGATGAGGTTATATCCAGAGCAAGGATTTCCACTGAGGTCCTTTATTATTGTTAATATCTGTGGTTTTTATCAGAATGTTATGTTTATTCTGGTGTTTGTATTGTTCTTTACTGGGGTTTGTGCTAACTGTTTTTTTTATTTTCTTGGAAATGGTTGGAAACCACAGGATTAATCTGGTATTGGGAAATTACTTGAAGTGTTGGCATATTTTGCTCTGTAGTGAGACATTGTGGGAATGCAACCAGTGAGGATTATGCATAAGCATGTTTTTGTTCTCTTGGCATGATTTTCAGCGTGGTGTAGACTGCCATGCCATCCAGTCTTGTTTCTGTGCAGTGTGCTCATCCATTTGTATGGTTTGAACTTTGCGGAAACATGAGTGCATTGTGTCTCAATGGTAAATGGATCTGAAGTTTGGTTACATGGCAAATTGAATCTGATAGTCAATCTAAAAATGTACTCATTGGCTGTTTGCTGTTGACATCTCACCAAGCATCGTAACCCTTCCTCTTTGTTTTTTCCTTGTTCTTTTTTTTTTTTGGTGGGGGGGGGGATGCTTCATTTATTTTTGTTTTTAGCATTTTAAATGTTTAATTGTTTATTCATATTCTTCCTCTGAGTTGGATTTGGTTTATCTGGACATGTTTGCTGGTTAGGGTGTGCCTGGAAATGATGGATTCATGATTTCCAAGTCAATGAGTCAAATAGAAGGTGGCCACGACCAGTTGCTAAAGGAAGCAGAATTGGCAACTGCAGCCGAAGAAAAAGAGACTCATTCATTTGAAATTGAGCCTGCTCAGGTAACTCAATGCAGATTTTCTGTTAAGTTGATCAAGAATAGATGGCATAGTCCACTTTACCCCAATTATTTGGTCAGCAATAAGTACCTCCTTTTATAATATGCAAGGAGAAGAAATCAAAGTTGTGTATCTCGAGATTTTAGAAGTTGCATTTTACTCGAAATACAATTAGTGTAAGCTTAAGACAGTTGAGTAGTGTGGTTCGGGAAATAAACCCAGCATTGGCAGTTTTGAAAAATGGTAGGCTGTTCCAAATAATTTCATTCTGTAATTGCCTGCACATGGATTGTAAATATTTTTGTTCTACTAAATGGTGGTAGTTTTCAATTGCTGAAGGGCACTCTGGTATATCAGTCAAAGAAAAAACCTAAGACAGAAAGTAGAGGGTACCATATTGCAGCTGATAATGGCTATTTTATTTCTGCATTCTGTTTCGATTAATATGTAGCTATTCCCATTTAGCATTTCAAGTTTTTCTTTTTTATGCACAATTCATGATCTTCATACCTGGTCTCGCTTAGTTTCCACGTAACCTGAAAAATATGTTTTTGTATTTCTTAGTGGTAGGAAATGGTTGTTCGTCACTTGTTACTGTTGATACCTTGTGCTGAGTTTAATGGTTAATATGCTTTAGTTTGATTTTATGCGGAGTGATTTTGGAGAAGACTGAACCACATATCCAAGTTGGCATATAACTTTGTTTGTCTCACTTAGTAAAGAGCTGGGTTATATCACGAACCTTTCCCAGAAAAAACATATCAAGGAACTTGTTGAGCTTTGGGTTGACTTCCTCTTTTTTCATTGTTTGGCCGTTGGGATGGAATTTGGTGAAATGAGCCCATATGTTGATTGAACTCTTCATCGACCATCTTATATTTCATTCCTGCATGTATGTGAACAATGCATACCTCTGTAACTGGCATCGCAGTGCATACTAATTGTCACGACAGCTGCACTATTTTATGCGTTTCATCGGATAAATAATATTGAGAACGTGTGGGCCGCATACAATCTGAACATTTTGGTTCTTCATGCTTACAGTGAACTTTGAATTGATAGGTTGAAAATGTGAAGCAGCGTTGCTTGCCAAATGCTTTAAACTATCCCATGTTGGAGGAGTATGACTTCAGAAATGATACCGTAAGCAAGCTCGCTCGCTCTCTCTCTCTCTCCCCCCCCGGGTGCGGCGTCTGCCGCCCTTAAAAAAAACCAATCACCTCCCTGGTGCTTTAAAATTGGAAGGGGGAATAATGAATCCTCTTGACTGAAGAAACAAGTTAAGTCACTACTTCGTATGTTTTGGAAATTTATTGCCTTTCTGCTGCTTTGATGTATGTTCATTGGATCCTCCAGGTCAATCCTGACCTTGACATGGAGTTGAAGCCTCAAGCACAGCTACGTCCTTATCAAGAGAAGAGTCTTAGTAAGATGTTTGGGAATGGTAAGTCTATTTGTCTTTAAGTGATCTATTTTTGGTTATTATGATTATTCATGTTTTTAGAGGATATATCTTTAAAGCCTACGGTTTACGCAACTCTAACTCCAGCAACCATATTTCTATTGGAAGTTGCTGCTTTTTTGATTTTTTCTTTCTAACAAAACATTAACACTAAAAGGGCCAAAGGTTGTGCAGCTTATGTACATGCTAAGTATGCTTTAGCCAAAAAATTAATCTTTTGCCAAAAGATATAAGTACCGATTTCTTCAAAAATAATTGGATTGAAAAATAAGTTCCATGGGAGTTTAAAACAATTAGGGAGTGAATGAAGCTTTGATTTCTTCAACCTATGCAATTGCAGCTCAACACTACTTTATTTCTGCCTTTCTGCTCCTCTAAAAATTCCACAGAAGACAAAAAAGTGCATCTTTTATCCTCTCGCCGAAAACAACTGCTGGCACAATCCTTTTCCTATTGTGGCAGCTCAGCCCTACAACTGATCTTCAAACTACTCAAAATCCCCAACTAGGACAACAAGAACAAGATATGCCACTTCTTTGTAGGATGGGTAGTGGAGCATCAACTGATTAACAGTCTTGAGCATCAACTGATTAACAGTCTTTCTCTGAACATCTGTACATTAAAAAAAAAAAAAAGACAGTTCGGGAGGATACTCTTTATGCAAACATGCTGGCAAGACTTAAAAAGGATTTGTAATTAGGTGATTTGAAATGAGAATCCGAAACACATCTCCATTACCAAAATAGTAACTTCTGTCTATATTGANTTAAAAAGGATTTGTAATTAGGCGATTTGAAATGAGAATCCGAAACACATCTCCATTACCAAAATAGTAACTTCTGTCTATATTGATGCCTGAGCTTAGGCTTAGGCTTCTTTGATGACAACTACAAACATTGCCAACCTAGGAATCGGGTGTGATCTTTTGAGACAAAGATCACTCCGAGGATGAAGTAAAGGAAAACTGTAAATTAATGAAAAATGTTATTAGTTGATTGCAAGGAATGCTATGCTTTGGGGTGCAAATTGGGAACCATGAAAATCTCCAATTAGGATGAGGGTTTTGTACATTTGCGGTGGTAGANCAGGAAAACTGTAAATTAATGAAAAATGTTATTAGTTGATTGCAAGGAATGCTATGCTTTGGGGTGCAAAATGGGAACCATGAAAATCTCCAATTAGGATGAGGGTTTTGTACATTTGCGGTGGTAGAAGAGGAAGACAGAATATGAAAATTGGATGCATAACAAACTTGGCTTCAATTGCGAACAAAGACAAAAGCGAATGACTGTATTTGTGAGGAGATGTGGTTTTATAATAGTTATAGCTTTCTAGGTTCTAGAAATGCGAGGAAGCCTAAAAGAGAACTGAGCTGCCAACAACTTTATTACTGTGCCTGATTTGACAGCTGTATATTGTTATAGATGGAATTAAATTGGAAGGAATCACTTACTAAAAGAAAGGACTTGTAAGGGAAANGAAAGTAGAGGGTACCATATTGCAGCTGATAATGGCTATTTTATTTCTGCATTCTGTTTCGATTAATATGTAGCTATTCCCATTTAGCATTTCAAGTTTTTCTTTTTTATGCACAATTCATGATCTTCATACCTGGTCTCGCTTAGTTTCCACGTAACCTGAAAAATATGTTTTTGTATTTCTTAGTGGTAGGAAATGGTTGTTCGTCACTTGTTACTGTTGATACCTTGTGCTGAGTTTAATGGTTAATATGCTTTAGTTTGATTTTATGCGGAGTGATTTTGGAGAAGACTGAACCACATATCCAAGTTGGCATATAACTTTGTTTGTCTCACTTAGTAAAGAGCTGGGGTATATCACGAACCTTTCCCAGAAAAAACATATCAAGGAACTTGTTGAGCTTTGGGTTGACTTCCTCTTTTTTCATTGTTTGGCCGTTGGGATGGAATTTGGTGAAATGAGCCCATATGTTGATTGAACTCTTCATCGACCATCTTATATTTCATTCCTGCATGTATGTGAACAATGCATACCTCTGTAACTGGCATCGCAGTGCATACTAATTGTCACGACAGCTGCACTATTTTATGCGTTTCATCGGATAAATAATATTGAGAACGTGTGGGCCGCATACAATCTGAACATTTTGGTTCTTCATGCTTACAGTGAACTTTGAATTGATAGGTTGAAAATGTGAAGCAGCGTTGCTTGCCAAATGCTTTAAACTATCCCATGTTGGAGGAGTATGACTTCAGAAATGATACCGTAAGCAAGCTCGCTCGNGGGGAGTAATTGAACATCCATGGAGTAGGAAACACAGCTCCAATAGCAGAAACAATCCAACCACCTCTGGTTAACCGGAAGTTGCTCAGTTTTTTAAAACTTTGAGATTATCTTGGTTTGCTTCTTGTTTATTTCTCTTGAGCAAAATGAAACAGTGGGGTTTCAGTTATGAAGGCAGTCTTCAAAACTTTGGGGTTGAATTTGGGAAACCTCGCTTGTCAGCACACCATGTGATGAACATGGTAATAGTAGAAATTGTTAAAATCTCCTAATAGAGCCCAAACCAAAGAAATAGAGTCGGGCTATCTCACTGGTTGTTGGACTGCCAATAGATATAGTTCGTTATTTTATAATATTTCTTTTCCTTTATTGGGAAAAATTGATCTACTGTCTTTGTTAATACAAGCTTGTGGCTGACTTTTATTTTTTATATTTGCATGAATGTATTACACTTAGTTATAGAGTGTTTCTTTGCTCTTTTTCTCTGTAAAAAGGTTTTTTTTTTGAATAAATAGTCATTGATTTTGTAGTTGTGTCCTACCATATTTTGTAACCCCAAATTTTTTGTCTTCTCACGCACTGATTGTTCCATTTTATTTGTCAGGCACTCTATGTGATGAACCCTAACAAATTTCGGGCTTGCGAGTTTCTTATACGGTTTCATGAACAACAGCGTGGTGATAAGATAATTGTTTTTGCTGACAATCTCTTTGCACTGACAGAGTATGCAATAAAGCTTCGGAAACCTATGATCTATGGTGCTACAAGGTTTTGTGGGTGTTGATTGGCTTATGGGACTATATATTATTTTTACTTATGCCATCTGGTATTTTTAATGAGAATTGATGTCTACATGTGCAGCCACGTTGAAAGGACAAAAATTCTTGAGGCCTTCAAAACTAGTCGGGAAGTGAACACTGTTTTCCTCTCAAAGGTACTGTTCACTGATGACCATTCAGTTATATAACTTGCCATTAGCTTTTAGTAATGCGGATTTTAACTTCTGTGAGGCCTTTTTTGTAGGGCCACGGTAACTTCTATCGTTTTCAAAAAACTTAATTGGTACATAATAGTGGCTTTATATTGGATCGGCAAGCTCCCTTGTTTTACTTAGCAAATATATTGTATTATGGTCACTTTTTAGGGTTAGCATGATGTACATGCTTTTTTTAACAAAGTTTCTCCTGGAAACATTTTGTTTGTTTGTGTTTAAATCACTTCTCAGGCAACATAGAGAACTGAATCTTGATTGTTACCATTTATTGTTTCAGCATCCTATGTTTCCACTCTGTTGATCTTATTTTTTTGAGTATATTTTCTAAAAGTCAGGACTCTTCTTCCAGGGTGGTGATATTGTTGCTTCTGTTATTCGCAGGTGGGTGATAATTCCATTGATATTCCTGAGGCAAATGTGATAATTCAAATTTCATCACATGCGGGATCAAGGCGTCAAGAAGCCCAACGACTTGGACGTATTCTCAGGGCAAAGGTTGTGATCCTTTTTTCTTTCCAGTAGTAGATCTATAATTGTCCATTCTTTCTCTGCCACTTGTCTGCGGATGTGAGTAGTCATTCATAATGAGACAGTTTCTTTTTTTTTTTTTTNCTGGAACCAAATTCCCAGCAATTGCTGGTAACTTGATTTTCCTATTTGTTGTTCCTGCATCACAGAATATAAGCTTCTCCAATGAATCAAGCACATTGATTTTGCCAACCAAGCTACCATGGACAATTGATGAAAGATTGCCAATGGAGTCCTCTCCAGCAAATGATGATTATTTCCTTTGTGGGTTTCAATGATGTTATCCCCCCCAATTTTTTTTTTTAAAAAAAAATGATATATGTTGATTGATCACCCTAGGGGAAGCTAAGCATTAAGGCAACACTTATTTAATTTGCTTATATAAGGATGATGGCATATTCAATGAAAACATAACACCCAGTTTAGTCCCCATAATCAATTTAACAAATGAAAATGGTGTATGAACATATTTTAACGCTTATATTCTAAATGATTGAAGCATGTTGAAAGTTAAGAGACCAAACTTTTATCATTGTTCTTACCTTCACAAATGTATTTACTGCAAGAATTGCTAGGTCTGGCTGGCTTTTAGCATAATTAATAAGATACAAATAGACAAGCTTCTTGAGTTCTAAGTTTTCAGTTTGCATGCAATTCACTACATCAGTAAACAGTGATGAAACGTCCTTCCCAACAGTCATGGCAGCAATAACTTTTTTAACAGCATCTTTTCTCTTATCCTGCATGACACAGAAAAAAGAAGAGCAGCATTCAATCTGTTGCACAACATAGTAGATATGAAGAGTATCATTTATGTCATAAAGCAGTGAAGCAGCCCATAATTAATTATGCACTCAAGCCCATCGTTTTAGAAGGTTATCTCTTTTTCCTCCAATTAGAGAATAAGTCTGTACAATCATCACATGGTGAAATTTAAGCAAATACCAGTCATGGATTAAACAAACATCAAGTTTTTCCTACAACCAGTTGGAAAGAATCAAATAACTTAGTATGGCAATAATATCTTTGTCTATGGGTAAAACAAATTGTTAAAACCGGGATAGTAGTCCATGTGGAAAACTGCACAATAGACACATTAAACTCCATCATATTATACAATTTTAATCGGCATTTCATTGTTTAACAAACAAGAAAAGAGAATCTGCACTTAACTGATTCTAATTGAACAGTACTGAGGCGAATTTTTCTAACTTAAAATGAAAGACTAAAATACACCAGCTATTTTTATTTCTAATTCCTATTATTTTTTCGTTTTCCTCCATAACCGCAAGATAACATTATGCGTTTCCATCGGCATAAATCACATCAAGTAACATGAATCCAGAAAATGTACGGATGTAAAACGCAATTCAGTGGAAGCCTACCAACATATGATTCGTAAATCGAATACAAAATTCAATAGATCTGATCATAACTTGTGTTAATAGGTAGTGGAAACACAATACAAGTTAAATCACAAGCATAATCGCAGCAGATCGAATACAGAGCTAGCAAATCAGCTAAAAAAATACGCATGAGTATATTATATGGCATANTGTCTTGTGCATTAAATGCGCTTTTTCGTTTTTCGCGCCCAATAATGAAACTGCCACTATATAAACGAGGTTCCTCTTCCATTTTCTTGTTTCGCCATTCCGAACTTCCTCAAGAGAGCCTTTTCCTGAATCTTCGCCGGAGATCTCTTTCCTCCCCCATCGCCAACTGTCCATCTTTCCTTAAAGTCTTAAGGCCAGCAGACCCATCGTTGCTTCTGAACTTTCTGGAAGGAGTCGCCTAAA